GTTTTTCATATAGTGTTCCTTTTTGAATAAAGGTTTCTTTTTGAAGGATCTGTTCTTATATGAACTAATATGTGTCATTCTATCACTTGTATTTAAACAATGTGAAAACGTCTATTGACGCGAAAAAGGACCACCGGTCCCAAAAGATCACCACTGGTGACAAGGGAGGCAGTCGCCTCAGAAAATTCATTTTATAATGAATATCCCGAAAGACGGAACTAGTGTTAAACCAACTACGGGTTTCCCTCGAAAGTTGATAAACACTAGCGCTGTCCAATAAGAAAGAAAGTAAGGAGTATAATTTAAGGTCAATAAATAAAGCTAGTGGTTCGTTTCGCCTCCACTCAGACGAACCACTTTGTTTTCATCAACACCGGAGGCTCATCGGTGAGGTAGTGTTGATGAAAACCCAGGGGATTGTTAGTATGTGGTGAATTTCAGAAAGAAAAGGATTTAATGAGAAGGATGTAATGAGCAAGAATACGTATAAACCAGTTGAAGTAAACTGTATGCAAAGAACAGAACAGATCAGAGCATAAGTGAATGAGAATGGCTTGAGGGAGACGTTGTATATTCAAATTCAAATTAAAGGACGTGTAGTTGTCCGGGAAATTAACTGCACGCATCTTACTTGTAGCGCATTATCTTTTGATAATAGAGTCAATAGTAATCCTAAAAGGGTTATTTAGAATTCCCTCCACTAACTTCTTAATATCCTTATAATTGTCCTGTATTCCATACTTATAGCTAATATACTTGTTATTACAAATGCATTTGATTATATTAAAGGCAACAAATTCATGCGAATATTCGTTGTTAATTAATGTTGATTTCATTTCTTGTAATTTTTCTATAAACACGTCAAATTTAGTACACGTATTAGCTATTCTAAGTGTTTCGGTATATATAACTGCAGCTTTATTAATATGGAGATGTTTGTGTTGTTATGTGGAAATCGAATAACTTTGAAGTTAAAATCATCAGTCTTATTATACAATTTTGTAAGTATTCTGTTGTTAATCACATTAATAGAAATATCTAGAAAGTTACTTTGTTGATCAGTTATGTGAGTTTTATTATATTGTAATACACCTTTATATACATTTGAAAGGCAATTTTCTATATCTGTTTCATTTTGGTTATGTATTATTAAAATGTCATCCATATATCTGAAAGGTATGAACAATTTATTTTTCTCAGATTTTATATTTTTTGCATAATTGTATTCCATAACGGAGAGGGTAAGATCAGCTAAGAAGGGACTGAAATTACCTCCTTGTGGTACTCCTTTGATTTGTTTAAAAATGCTATCCCCAAAACAGCAGTAGCTATTATGTAACAAGTACTCTGTTAAGTACAAAAGATCTGTATTTTTATAGCATTTGTAATTATTATTAATAAGTGTTTCACCATCTGTGTAGAATACCTTGTAACCATTACTGGCCAATAATGGCTTTGCTGCATTCTTAAAGCATAAGTTCAAAAGTTCTTGTATGTTTCTGATAATTAAGTTATGTTCTAGGTTCGTGAACATATCTGTAAAATCAGCTGTAAAAACTTTTATGTTGTTACCAATAATGGCATTAATTTCTTGACTTATATTGATATCTTTAATTGCCCAGTAAGTTTTGATTGTCCTATTACGTTCTTGTAGTACTCTTACATAATTAATGAAGTGTTGTTTAATAAATGTAAATATCGTGTGTAGTTCTTTTGCAAGAGGTTTTATGCTACTATTGTAGCTCCTGTTATAAATCTAAATTTGATAGGATTTTTATGTAACTTGGGAAGTGCGTAAATAGTCGGTATGTCTGCATTCATTTCAAGCTTTAGTTTATTGCGTATGCAGAAAAACTTATGATTTAATATGATTGCATATTTATTATTGTTGGGATGTAGCTTATATGTGGAGTTTGTATCATGATATATGAACGTATTCTGGTCATAATTGTAGTCAATTCCCATTTCTTTCATTAGTGTTATCAAATAGAACTTTTTACAAATAATACCATAATTGTTACTAGCTTTGTCCAAAGGACAGAAAACAAATTTATTTTGATAGTCCATGAGAGTTCTATTGGGAATATCATCGCTGTCCTTGCAAATTTTATCGTATGTGAGTAAAGGTTTTATCTTTCTGTGGTACTGCTCACACAAGAATTTTTTAATCAAGTTTTGCTTTTGTTTATTAATATGGTACTTGTTTTTGAAAAACGTTATAACATCTTGTACTGCTTTACTATATATATTATGGACTTCAACTCTAGTTATGCCTCTATCATTCCTAAATTTAGTGCCTTTCCTGAGAATGTTCCTGAAGTTGTCTTCCTCAATTATATCCAAATCACCCGTAATAACGTGGCCATGTTCTTTAGAGATGAAATTTTTAACTTTGTTGTATTGGCAAATACAACTGTTGTTAATTACTTCTTCTATTTTATTGTTGTCTAGGCTTTTTAGTATCTTGTTATAATTGAATATTATACTAGATAACGGATTATTGTATTTATAAATCATTCTGATAGGTATGTATTCCTTTTGCTTATTATTCGCTAACACTACCTTTTTAATGTAGTCGGAGTTGAATATTTTATTGAACTGTATTTCATTGAATATCCTGCTAGTAAAATTCATTGTAATGTTATGGAATGTTCTCTTATTGTTATCCTTGTCTTTAACGTTATTGAAATGTAGGTGTGCTAATATGCAGAAAACTATTAGTTTAGTTTTACTATTAACATCTGCAAGGAAACTGTCATTAAGGGAGTATCTGATTAATTTACTAATTTGTTCTTTTTTGAGGGTCTTAATAAGTCTATAATATTCGATTGGTTTAAGTGATCCATTGCTATTGATTATTTGTTCTAATATCTTATCAAAGTTATGCAATCGTTTAGTTTTATTTGTTTTGGATCCTCTATTAGTTCTCTGTTTGGTAATGCTAAGGGAGAAATAAGGTGGTTTACTTTTGAATTGCAAAGGGTTGCTAACGTTGGTGATATTACCATAACCTTTGATGTTGTCGTTTAATCCAAATGGGTAAGGTGTCATAAGAAGTTTAATCCAAAATAATTCTTTGGAAAGTAGTTTATCTTTATTGTTATCACTTATTGAGTCTAATATAGTAAGAGTAATTCCTTTGTTGCAGTTATAAAAATGATTATACAAAGGTGACTTGATTTTGTGAGTTTTTATATTAGTAAGATGTTCTCCAACTCTTTCTTTTATTTTCCTTATTGTCATACCTACATATTGTATACCACATTCATTGCATGTTAAACAATATATAACATTTTTGTATTACAGTTGTGTGTTGACTTCTTTATATGTATTAACATGTAAACCGGTAACATTGGATATTATGTAATTGTTGATATTGGTGATATTACAAACTCTGCATTCCTTGTTACAAACACTACCTTCATTGTTATTACCGAAGTCTTTAATATGGTAATGATTGGTCCCACCCCTTACCTTGGTAAATTGTGTAAAGTTGTAAGTAATTTGAAGCGCTAATTTTTGCATTGTTTTTTGACCTAGATCTAAGCGCACGAGCGGCCAAACACGTGTGCAGAGGAGGTGTCTTCCCGAAGGTTTGGCAGGGCTGCTGCCCAGGGGATGGCTCTCCCTGCATGTTCCTTGAACGACTAGCGCTGGAGGCGCCAAAAATTGACCCCCCTGCCATTTTTGACTTGTATAACCCCATCAGCGCTAATCCCTATTTTTAGTAAGAGGTATGGCCCTCTTGAATGGTTATTGAATTGTTATGGGATTATCTTAACCCCTGCAAAAAAGAGAAGAAAAAAAGAAAAAGAAAAAAAAACGCAAAGAAAGAAAGAAAAGAACGGCGCGGGCGCATCAAGGAAAGTCAACAAAGAAGTTATTATGATGTGATCGAGTACAATCTTTAACTAACGAATAAGTTAGTAGTTAATAAAACATACTTGAAAGTGATTGGTAGATATGTTATTCTGTTAGCGGTGAGATATCATCTTATAATATTGTATCCATTTGCTAAGTTGTAGCTTGTTAGTGTTCTTCAAAAACGTCCACTATTAAACATATACCTCGTATTTAAACGCAAGCTGCAAAATAGATCCAGTAGATTGTACTTATCATCGACTAAATAAGTATAATTGTATTACGTCGTTTCAAATTCAAGAGTCTGTCGTGGTACTACAAACAATAGTCATGAATGATGAGTTATCAAGGTATCTAATGTTGTCAAATAACAACTATGCTGTATAAGAATCGAGTTTGAGAATATGTACTAACGCGATTGGAAAAATAAGACAAACTACAATGTAGAATGAGATAAAAAACAGTTGAAATACATTAATAAACTCCCAATGTCCGAATAGTTTCATATATTTGGTGTAATTGCGGACTAATTGTCTTTTGGTCGTGAGATTATTACACTAATGCAGTTGCAAATAATCTGTCTAACTGTCACGACTGGCTTATTTGAATCACTGTAGTCGGTTCAGACTATTGCATGCAATTGCAGACAAATCCACTGAAAGACGTGATGAATTTGTATTATACTGTCCGATTCATTATGTTGTCTTCAATTGCAGAATCAGTCTTAAACAGACGTGATAACATCGTGTCCTTGTGATTAATACTCATGGAGTCTGCAATTGCAGAAAAACATCCAAAAGGCGTAATAATGACTGTTGTTTGTTAGGATGAGTTTTGTAAAGGCTTATGAGATCAGGCAGCTAATTCTATTGGGATGTTTAGTTCGAATTATTAGAAATGAGGATAAACTGGCATAGAGTAGGAGATCTGAAATCATCACTGTCATGAGTAAGCATTGTACGATTTCCGGATGTCGATCGTTGAACTATCGCCTATCAATTGTTTGTTTATTTGTGTTGATCTACAGATACTGTTTGTAGGTCCCGAAAGGAAAATGAGCATCTAATTTGTGTTTATTTTGCAACTTGCCGCTACTTGCCTAAGAATGTTATTCATTGCTTCTTCGTCGGATTCGCACAATGTCAGACGTGAGTAATCCTGAATTTCTACTTTATTTATGCTAATAAGTGTTCTCGATTTTCTTACACTGTTGATTTCAGAAGCCAGGTTTTGACATCGAAAATGTTGATCAGGAGAAGGGTTTCAAAAAACAGCAAGAAATGGTTAACAGGACTGTGCTGTCAAAACAAGTAAGAATACTGTTCGTTTCTAACCCGAACAAACTGCCATTGCGTGAAGTGGTGAAGAGGTTTTCAACCGAAATAATCAGGTATTTTGATATATTTCATGTGATTTAGTAACTACATAGGCTTCACTTTTAGATACGATAATTCATCTGACGCAAGCCCTCTCGGATGGGCGAAATCAGCCGGCGGAACTAATGAAAGTACCTGTTTTCGAGTAAGTTTTCATTGATAATGTACTACTTACTTATACAATCGATGTAATTTCAGGCAGAGATGAGCTCTCCTTTCTGGGATTACTTCCTGGAGAAAGGAAAAAGGTGTATCGCTGAATATAATCGGAAACACAAGTGCAACGTCAAGCTATTGCGAGACCATAGCGTGAAGGTTGCAGATTTAGAGAGTCTCAGGTATGTCAAACTAACTAGCCTTTGTCTTGTTTTGACTAGCAATATTTTATATGTACTAGCATGAGTATTAACACATGTGTTTAAGTAGAAATACATGTATGTTACAGTTTGTATCTTCGTAAGAAGATACGAGAGTATTGTCATCTCCACCATTTTGATATTCCTGAGGTTCAAATAAAGAACGGTTATTTATCAATCAAGAGTAACAAAATGCCTGAAGCCTTGGTGAGTTATTTGAATGTTTTACATGTTCAGACGTAATATAACATGTCCAGAATGTAATTATATTGTTTGTATTTCAAAAATATGTTGTAGAAGATAAAGTCCACGTTACTTGCCATCAAGCTGGGATGGTCCTATCACGACTGGAGTGGTATACCAATAAAGGAATTGCTGACTGACAACGAAGCAAAAGATTTTACTGTGAGTTGATAACTGATAATCAGTTATGGTGCAATAAAGATCATTTTGATATCTAGTACTGTTTAGGAAGGAAAAATCAAATGGTGTTCGCTTAAATTGGAATCAATTCTACACATTGATGTATCAGCAGTGTCAGATCTGTCTCAGTCCAATTCTGAGGTGAATAACAAGTGGAAATGTACATTGTATGTTTGGTATCGCGATGAAAAGGTTGTTTAGGATTCCAGAATCAGTCGTAAGCGTGAAGCAACGCAGGAAGAGACATCGGCGCCAAAAATGGCAAGGCGTGTTAATGAAGATGAGGAGAAAGAAGAGTGAGCTATTGTTTTATGTCTTGTTATGTCAAGTTGAATGACTAATGATTTGCCTTTTTGCTATTCGTTGGTTTAGAGCTGTCGTTTTCAATTGATTGTAAGTGAAGAACTGTTGTTTTTAAATCAAATAAAAAACAAGAGTTTTTCATATAGTGTTCCTTTTTGAATAAAGGTTTCTTTTTGAAGGATCTGTTCTTATATGAACTAATATGTGTCATTCTATCACTTGTATTTAAACAATGTGAAAACGTCTATTGACGCGAAAAAGGACCACCGGTCCCAAAAGATCACCACTGGTGACAAGGGAGGCAGTCGCCTCAGAAAATTCTATTTTATAATGAATATCCCGAAAGACGGAACTAGTGTTAAACCAACTACGGGTTTCCCTCGAAAGTTGATAAACACTAGCGCTGTCCAATAAGAAGGA